TCCTTTTAGACTAAAAATTGTTCAATGAGGAATTGAAAAATTAATATAGAGAAAAGGCTAAGAATAGAATAAAATACAAGTAAGTAAAAGGCAATGAGTCATCCCTGACTATGACCTGAATATGGGCTTCTGAATTGACTAGACAGCCAACTGACCAAGTAAGAAATTGATTAATCAACTTTTCAACCAAGTAATTAATTTATTAGTTAAATGACAATGATTCAACCATTCCATCAACCCACTGAACACAAACTCAATCAACCAACCATTACTAAATATCCACTAATCTAAAAGTTAGTATGACTGACTGACTCAAGAGAAGTAGAAATAAAAAGCTACTGCTCTACTTACAAAATGAAGAGGCAAGAATACAACATGGCTTTTAGGGTAAAGAAAATTGGGAGAGTTTTAAAGGTGATAAATATGAACACCATAGGCTAGGGGCAGAAGCACAAAGGCAATTCTATGGCATGGGAGAACCAGGAAATTAGTTTGAGACAGAATTCTTAGAGGACCTTACTTACTAAGGAGTCAATACTCTTGATTGTTCCCTGAGGGGTCCTATGGTATGGGTACAAAGCTTACATCCCAAACATAGAGTAGACCTATGGATATGACATTTTTGACTACCCTCATTATCTTAAACTACAACAAGATAAGTATATTTTAAATACTTTTATTGAATCAGAAAATTATTTCTTAAGTTGTACATTTGAAGTGGGGTTTTGTCTTAGGAACTGAAAGTTTGGGGTGGCATTTCCAACTTTTGGAGCAAGCCAATAATAGTAAACGTTAACTATTCTGAACACACCTCTTCTAGAACTCAACTGATGCACATCATGAGGGTCTTGGATCCTTGCACACACTCATGAAAGCTCTGGTCATGAGCTAAGCAGAATGGAGTGTAATGATGAGTAAGTAGCACGGGAGAGATCCAATCCTGAGAGATCCAATCCTGAGACAACTCATAATCCACCCTCCAGAGAATGTTCCCTGAGACTCACCTGCCAAGGGTAGGAACCCCTTTCCACTTGGCTTCCCCCAACAATGCGACTGAAAGTGTTAAGGTAATTCCAAGGCCATGTCTTCATCAGACTCTGCCCACAAGTGGGAGCTAGGGGAAAAAAAAAACCAACTTAGTGATTCCATAGCTCCTAGGACTGAGGGGTATAGGAAACTCTTCTGAGCAAGAAAAAACTGTAAGACATGGAGCATGCAGAACTATTACAAAATGGCTTTGTAATTGTGGGGTTTGCTGTGATTTGCAGTACAAGGGACTGCTCAGCGTTTTCACATAGAACATGCATATCATAAAGAGATGTGCTTCTCTGATATGAAGATCAGATCTTCACTGGGTTAGCACAAATGCAAATGCCTTTTGATTCTGAGCGATCTGGCCCCTAGAGGCTCCTCCTAGCACTCTGTACTTCTATGACTTCGATCACATGCCGTTGTGGTTATTTGCAAGCCTTTCAACCTCATTAGACTGTGAGTGCCTCAGAGATACAAACTTAATCTTGAAATATCTGTATCTACAATATCTAGCACAGCTTCTGATGCATAGAAGTTGCTCAGTTAATTGGTCGAATAGATGATACTGTAGTCTGCCTTAAATTGTAATTGTGTTTACAACTTTTCCTCTGTTCCATGCAGGAGACTAAGGCTGAGACCATGGCTATGGTGCCTGGCACACAGTCAGATACTGGATTATTTCTCTACGAGGGTGGAAAGTAGCAGGTTGTACAATGATAGTGGAGGGGAGAGAAGACGGTGTGCTGATTCACATAGCAGAGTGGTGGTAGGATACATGGGTTGCCAGGTAATGGAAGAAAGGACTCGTTCCTTTTCATGGAAAAGACTTTATCTTGGAAAAAGTTGCATTTACTTATTTATTCTCAAAATCTGTTCTGCTTTTTCTGGTTGTTGTTGTTGTTATTTGTTTTATTTTTGACTTCTCAGCTAAGAGATGGGCTACATTAAGATGTATACAACTGCCTGGTAAGTCAAAGATGGCCCATCTTCTGTCTCTATCACAAGTCATTCTTTCTACGTGTTTTCTAGGAGGTACTAGATGCCTTGCCTCGTAATCACCTAATTTTACCTAGTTGAATCCTTTAATCACTATTTTTCAGCTTGGAAATCAGCTCAACTGAGAAATCTTCCTTAATTTTCTCAGATTGTGTTAAGTGTCTCTCCTCTGTAGTACCCCTTTTCTCTCCCCTTGTATAGTTTTTGTCATGCAATATTGTAATAATAGTCTGTTTGTCTCCTTCATTGTACTATGGCCTACTTGAAGGAAAAAAACCCTGTATTTTATTAATCTCTGTATCTCCAAAGTTTAGCACAATTCCTAGCATACAGTAGACAATTAGAAAAGTTGGAAGGATGAACAAATGACTTTTCTTAAGAACATATCCTTGAAAGCATAGCTATTTAGATTACGTCAACATATGCAAAGCTCTTTCAAGTAACTTCTCATTTAATCCCCATTCTCTGCCTGCGGATCAAGCACTACAACCCCCACATTATAGAAAGGAAAATGAAGAATCAAAGAGATGCACAGCTAATTAGTGGCAAAATGTGCATGTAACACTGTCTTTTGATTCTGAGCTCAGTGCAGGTATGACATTGAATCAAAAGCTCTATTTAGCCGTTTCAGCTGAATGAATCACAAATTCCTTAGACACAAAATTTACTATTTTTTGAACTCACTGAAGCAAAGACAGAAAACATGACGATTCTTGAGGCTGGCATAAATTTGACTATGGAGAAGCCTGCCAAGAACTGTTTCCAATTTGTTTTATTTGAGGGAAAAAAAGATCACTTATATATATGTAATACACCACAGTGAACATGCTTCTTATTTCCCAGCAATGTAACTTTTTAAAAGATTACAGATCCTTCCACATTTATGATGATTTCCAGAATTTTCTCTATGAAAGGCATGAGATTGTATAATGTGTTCAAAGAAGTGAACAATCCCACCTTTTCTCCAGATCAGCGTAATTTGTCCAAGATGTATTCCATAAGTGTTCTAGCCAGCTTAATATGTTGATTGCAGGAGAGAAGTCAAAATTAATTACATGAAAACCAATTACACCTCCAAAATACATTTGCCTCTCCTGTTTTCCCAAAGGAATATGGAGTGGAACTGTGATACCCATTGCCAACAAAGGTTGTTTCTTCAGAAAAAGGTAATTATAGAGTTCATTTGGAACTTACCTTTGGGTAGAGACAGACTTGTAGATTTCCTTTGTTCCAAACAGATCATTCCAAGTAGTAAAATGAGCTTATTCTTGTTCATACGCATTTTGAAACTGAGTTTTTCCCTGAAATTTTAGAGAGACTAAAGAGAATCAAAATAGCCTTGTGAGAGCAGCAACATACCAATTTAAAAGAAAGTTATTCATTAACCAACACACAAGGCACTCAACCATGTCCATATGCTGTTTCTGAATGTGGCTTATTACAAAGATCTTTGCAGATGTGGGGAGGCAGCCGCAGAAGCATAGTCTTGATCAAGCACTAGTACATGTCCCATTACACCCACATCAACATATTGCTTCCTCCAGAATTTATCTGGCTAGCCAAGTGGTAGGTGTCTAAGGTTTCCATTTGCAAACATTACTTGCTTCTAGGGACAGGTTACCGCTTTCTATGAGAGAACTGAATATCAAAATTGTCTTTGTTTGCAAGGATAGACTTTCCTACATGCTTGCAAACAACTCATCAGAATATATTAAAACATTTGTCTTTCTCTTGTTTTCCAAATAGATATTATAAATGGATGGTTATAGCCATTTGTTAGAGGAGAGGAAACGATAATCTGGTAGCACGCTCAGGAAGTCAAGCTACTAGATGGTCATTTAGGTTACTGTTCATTGAGGCATTTATGAATCTGCACTTTTTCATCATTTTTTTTATATTTATAGAAGGCAAAAACTAAATCACGTTTGCTTCTGTACCTGGCAGGTGATACAGCACTGGGAGGTGGCTCTGATTATATCCAAGCCTTCTTTTTCCTTGGCTGAGTGTTTGGGACATAGTCAGTGTCTGAGAAACACTTGTGGATTGACCAATACCATTTACGAGCACATCGGAATATGAGATTTTTTTTCTGTCAATTTTTACAAATTATCTGCCCCCAAACAGCAAATGTCAAACCAGAAGCCTCTAACTTTCTTATGGTAAGTTTTGCCCTTCTATAAAATAGATCTACAAAAGCACAACACATGCAAAGAATATACATGCAAAGCAAATGAGTTTTAAAGCCTAAAATCTGTGAGAATTGCAAACTTAGGAAACAGTCAAGACTTCAGCCTTATGAAAAGGACACTCAAACACCAATAAAGACTTTACTCACAAATATTCAGTAAGAAAATAATATACTCAAGGTCCTGAGGAAAAATAACTAACAACTTAGAATTTTATGCCCAGCTAAATGATCATTTAAGAGTAAGAGTGAGATAAAGATATTTTCAAGGCAAAAAACACTTGAAAGGGTTCAATAGCATACCATTGCTGAGAGAGCCACTAAATGAAGAAAGTACATCAGAAGAAAGAAATTAAGTCCAGAAGGAAGGAGAGGGATGTAAGAGGCGATGTGAATAAAGGAAAACAAAACAAAACAAAAAAACCCTGCTGAAATATATGTGAATCTAACCAAGTATAAAGTAAAAATAGTAGTGACTAATTTGAGATTATATGGTGAAGTTTTCTAGTTGTCTATGCCATGTATATTCTCCTCCTTTTTCTTGGTAACAGTACCCTGGTTTTATTGGGTGCTTCAAAGTGCCCAATTTAAAAACAAAACAAAACACATTTTCCAGATTCCCTTACATATGAAAAGGCCTTCTTACTCAGTTCTGGTTGTTGGTTTAGGGTCCACAGAATACTCCATAAAGAGATTAGATGGACTCAGCTGATGTAAACCTTTTGGCTCCAGGCTTTTCTCCTTCATCCTTCCTGAAAAATGAACAAAATTGTTAAAGATGGAACAATCATTCTGTGGCCTCCAAGCAAGAAGCACAAGGTAAGGATGGCTGAGGGGAAATATAGAAGTCTAGGTGTCTAGTATGTTGTGGAGCTGCTGTATCAAATTTCTCATTATGTGCATAACACATAATTCGCACTACAGGCCATAGTTTATTTTTAATTTCCTTAATTATCAGTGATAGCAAATGTTTCAAGTGCATTTAATAGCAATTAGTATTTATTTTTCTATGTATTGCAGATCTGTGTCTTTTGTTCATATTTCTACTTGGTTGGCTGTCCTTTTGACTTTTTGTGATGGAAACTTAAAATCTGCATAAAAGTAGAGAGAATGGTACAATGAACCTCCATGTACCCATCTCTCTGCTTCAACAATAACCCATCTTGGCCCATTTTATTTCTTTTATAACTCTTTCACAACTCTACAGTCTTATATTTTTTAATTGAAGTATAGTTGACTTATAATATTATGTTAGTTTCAGATGTACAACATAGTGATTCAAAACTTTTATAGATTATACTCCATTTAAAGTTATAAAATAATGGCTATATTCCTTGTGCTGCACAGTATGTTCTTTTAGCTTATTTATTTTATATGTAGTAGTCTGTAACCCTTAATCCTCTACTCCTATATTGTCCCTCCCCTTTTCCCTCTCCTCACTAGTAACCACTAGTTTATTCTCCATATCTGTGAGTTTGTTTCTGTTTGGTTAGATCCATTCATTTGTTTTTTTCCCTTCATTATAAAATTTTCCATTGCTGGGGTACATTTACTACAATTGATGAAACAATACTGATACATTATTACTAACTAAATCTCATAGTTTATATTAGGATTCATTCTGTGTTGTACAACTATGTCAAGTATCCACCATTACAGTATCATACAGAATAGTTACTCTGCTCTGAAAACCCCATGCTCCACCTATTCATCACTCTCCCTGTCCCTCCCACACTCAAACCGAACCCTTGGCCAACACTGTTCTGTTTTTTAGATTCCGTATATAAGTGATAACACACAGTATTTGTCCTTCTCTGTCTGTGTCTGACTTATTTTACTAAGCATAATACTATCCAAGTCCATTCATGTTGCTGCAAATGGCAATATTTCATTCTTTTTTATGGCTGAGTTATATTTCATTTATCTATATCTATATCTATATTTATATCTCACACCTTATTTATCCATTCATCTGTTGATAAACACTCAGGTTTCTTCCATATCTTGGCAATTGTAAATAATGCTGCTATGAATTGATGGGGTGCATGTATCTTTTTAAATTAGTGATTTCATATTCTTTGGATATATACCCAGTAGTGGAATTGCTGGATCTATTTTTAGTTTTTAAAGAAAACTCCAGACTGTTTTCCACGGTGGCTGTACCAATTAAACACCAACAGCATACAAAGTTTCCCTTTTTTCCACATCCTCGCCGACATTTGTTATTTGTGATCTTTTTGACTATATCCATTCTGACAGGTGTGAGGTGATATTTCATTGTAGTTTTGATTTGCATTTCTCTAATAATTAGTGATGTTGAACATCTTTTCATGTACCTGTAGGCAACCTGTACATCTTTTTTGGAAAAATGTATATTCAGGCCTTGTGCCCATTTTCTAATTGGGCTGTTTGTTTTTTGGGTTTTTTTGATATTCAGTTATGTGAGCTGTTTATATATCTGGATATTAATCTCTTATTGGTCATATCATTTGCAACAATTTCTCCCATTTGGTAGACTGTCTTTTCATTTTGTTGATGGTGGTTTCTTTTGCTGTGCAAAAGCTTATAAGTTTAATTAGGTCCTATTTGTTAATTTTTGCTTTTGTTTCCTTTCCCTTAGGAGGCGGACCCAAAAGGATACTGCTACAATTTATCTCACAAAGTGTTCTGCATATATTTTCTTCCAGGAGTTTCATGGTTTTTGGTCTTAGATTAAGTCTTTGATACATTTTAGTTTATTTTTCATATATAGTGTGAGAAAATGTTCTAATCCCATTCTTTCGCATGTAGCTGTTCAGTTTTTCCAGCACCATTTATTGAAGAGATGTCTTGACCCCATTGTATATTCTTGCCTTCTTTGTTGTAGATTAATTGACCATAAGTGGGAGGTTTATTTCTGGGTTCTCTTTTCTGTTCCATTGGTCTTTGTGTCTGTTTTTGTGCCAGTACCATAATGGTTTGATGACTGTAGCCTTGTAATATAGTTTAAAATCAGGGGGTGTGACACCTCTAGCTTTGTTCTTTCTCAAGATTGTTTTAGCTATTCAGGACCTTTGTGTTTCCATACAAATTTTAGAATTATTTGTTCTAGTTCTGTGAAAAATTCTGTTGGTATTCTGATAGGGATTGCATTCAATCTGCAGATTGCCTTGGCTAGTTTGATCATTTTAACAATATTAATTCTTCCAATCCATGAACAAGATATATCTTTCATCTGTGCTATCTTCAATTTCTTTGTCAGTGTTGTACACTTTTCAGAGTATAGGCCTTTTAACTCCTTAGTTAGATTTATTCCTAGGTATTTTATTCTTTATGATGCAATGGTAAATGGGATTGTTTTCTTAATTTCTCTTTCTGATAGCTCATTGTTAGCATACAGAAATGCAACAGATTTCTGTATATTAATTTTGTATCCTGCAACTTTACCAAATTCATTGGTGAGCTATAATAGTATTTTGGTGGTCTTTAGCATTTTCTGTCTACAATCTTGTTTTGAAACAAATTCCAGGCATTATTTTATTTCACCTCTAAGCAATTCAGAACATGTCTTTCACATGCAAGGACTAATAAAAATATAACCACAATGCATTAGTAAACCAAAAAAATGATAATTATTTAATATCAAATATTTGCTGTTTGAATTTTCCCAATTGTATTATAAATTTTTTCCACAACTGAGTTGAGTTAAAATCTAAAGAAGGTCTAACTATTTCATTTAGTTGTTATATATCATGACTTTTTAAGCTATAGCTTCCTTCTCTCTTGTTTGAGCAATTATTTTTGTGGAAGAAATTGGTTATTTAGTCCTCTAGAATTTTCTACATTATGTGTTTCACTGATTGCATCGCTATTCAGCTATTCCTTTTAATGTGTTCCCATAAACTCTGTGACCTGTGAACTGATAGGAAAATCTAGATAGAGTCTTGATCAGATTCAGCTTAGATTTTGGGCCATAAATTTTATAGCAGGGGTGTCTACTTCCTATTGCATCATACCATGAGGCACATAATATCTGGTTTCTTTTCTATGATTTTAAAATTAGTAAGTAGGTTCAGATTAATTCAATATAAAGTTCCTCACTTTTTTTACTTTATGATTTTCAAAAGCCCCTTTTCTTTCTTTTTTTGGTTTTCATTAAT